TCAGTGATGACTGATTAGAAATTTCTCATCACGCTGAGAGGTATCACATCAGAGAAGCAGATCAGATTTATGAGACTGTGACTCTAGCAATTGATCTAACTTCTTGTATTGCAAGCTAAGCCCTGGTTCATCAGACACAATTGTTACAGAATATACATCAACAGTCATACAAAGTGATTGTCTTGGTGGAAACCTTCATATACATGGGTGAAAACTATCCTTATTGTTCAAATACACTGAATACTTGGATAGATTTGTAATCAAGAAACACTGATCATCACAAATATTATGTATGAAAAGAAATGGTTAATTTCATTGGTAAAAGAAATAACATTTCATAAGGTGGGATACACAGGAATGAAAATAAAATTGCCATGAAAATATCTGAATTAATTTTTTCAGATTTACTTTTAAACATGTTGAATATTGATGTGCCAGATGTATGGAGTGAGCAAGAATTTAGGTTGCAATATTCCAGCAATATCACAACTTGTGGACACATAGGCAGATCCAGGAATTTTCAATGGGGGTTGGGGGGGATTGGCTTTAATGCTGATACCAGTGTAGGAAAGATGTAGAAAATCTAGCCTGTCCACAGGACTGGCAGGTCAAATGTTTTACCAGTCCTGCCAAAATCTAGCTTGTCCTCCAAATATAAATAAAACACCTTCGGCAGTAAATATTCAAAAAGGTTATAATCATTATATATATGTCATTGGTTTGCGAAAATTGACCCGACATGAGGACGGACTAGATATTTTTTTAACCCGTCCTCCACAAAATTCACCCGTCTCGGGACGTTGGGACGGGCTATCTTTCTTTCACTGCTGTTACCCCACCATTGCAAAACATTAAATTCAATAATTCAATGTGGTGTTTAGTCATTTGCAAAGTGTGTGTGTGTGTGTGCGTGTGTGCGCGCGCGCGTGCGTGCGTGCGTGTGTGCATGTTTTGATAAAGGGAGGAGGAGGATGGGGGTGGGGGGGTGGCATGCACGCACACACACACACACAAACACACACACACACACACACACACACACCTTGGCTTTCACACATTTACCGATGTGGGAAACAAACCTTGGTCTTCAGCATGACAAGCAAATGCTTTAACCACTAGGCTACCCAAATGCCAAATGTAAGAAGAGATTCTTGTGGCATGTATATAGTTCCTTAAACTTTCATACGCAATAAAGTAATGTGAAAAAAAATGAAGTTGCATGCCTTAAATTGATATTTCTGTTCCCATAAATAGCACAGACATTCCAACAAGGACAGTTTCACTATATTTGAAGGGTCACTGGGTACACTCATATAAATATACAAATATTGGACAATCCAAACTCACTCATACACAAAAGCAATCTGAAAACACTTTTCTGTTACCATGGTTACAGAGTACATGTAATTGCGTTGGAGCAGAAATAATTAATCTCTCAAAATATGATGGGATATCGAATTCGGACAAATAAATATACATTGTATTACAATACACCTACATCAAGATAAAAATATGCCACCTAATTATATAAGCAAAGACACTCACATTTGTTCGCAATAATTTCATGAATTCCAGTAATTATTTCATCAATATTAATATTACTGTTTTTTCAGAGGTGATTAAGCATATCAACTCTTATACCACACGTAAGATAAGAAATACACAAAGCATAGAACACAAACTCCACAATGAATATTTTATTGGTGTATATTTGAATACTTCTTTGGTACTGATTTGCATAATGGCCTGCATCGGAGGCCACAGTAGTATAGGTTGCATCAAGCACCTGCTGATGCCTTCGAGATGTGCAGAGATGCTTTGTGAGAAGCATGGACTGCAATGCTGGGGACCGCCCCAGTGTTTTAACAGATGTCCAGTTCAACAGTTCAGCTGGCAGCCATGTGTGTGATTCTATCACAGATGGCCACACCACTATCACACGATGGACTGTTATAATCACTGCTTATACAATACTCTTATACTATAAAAATATCCACATATATGCTTACCTAAAAATATCTAGTTTTATATATGACATTCAAGCTTTGTTTGCATTACAAGTCATGTTTGTATTAGAGAGACATGTTTGATCACAAAAAGGAAACCAGTTTTATTACTTCCCATTCCTTTTATAAACATTAGCCAGACAAAAAAGGAAATGAAGACAATTAGATGAAAATCTGCACTTCGGAAAGGAACTTTTTTCTATGTATTTTTTAAAGATATAAAGTTCTTTTGTCTTGAGGAAGTGTTTCATCTTCTTGTACAGTAGAGGATGGAGGAAGAGGGTAAGATTCCAAGTCATACCAGACTGCCAGTTTATGTTTAAACGAGTGAATGGTCGAGTATAATTTTCTACCAATTTTAGTATTGTTCCCATAGGGTAAACTAGAAATTCACTGGGTTCAAACCCTGCCTCAGACATGACAAAGGAATACTTTAGCTACTGTGCTGTCTCACCACCCCTTCTTATAATACAATCACACTGCTAAATTAATATTTCAACTTGTAACTGTTACTTTTATGTTAATAAATTTTGTGGATATATTTTCATCAATTCAAAAGAGTAGATGAAAGATGAAATTACATTATAAAATCATCTCCATCCTGTGATGGTTCTCTGTTCATGTCGTGTCGATGAGATGTAAACTTTTGACTTACTCACTCACTGTTCCTGTGATAGGCTAACATGAAACATATAGAGTTTTATCTATGTAGGTAAAGTACTTATAGGATCATGTCATCTCCTTAACAAAGACTGAGCAGCATGGTTAGCACAGGATATGCATCTACCAGGAGCACCGCTATGAATATTTATACAAAAGTACGTAAACTACAAATCACCTGATGACAACCACAAGTCCATACTCTGATAACACCTTTAACTATGCACTGGGTTGTAAAAATATTATATACCTATAAAACTGTTTCTTTGGTGAAATGCATGTTTGGACAACAAGAACGTTCAAATATACAGTATGGCACTAACAAGATATTTTTACATGATAATAACACAACAACTGGTTCAAAATATGTCGACTGTCTAAAACAGTCATCTCTGGGTTGATGACATCCTCGATAAATCTCCACTATACCCTAGATGCATCTATGGCTCGGCCCGATAATTTTATTACCTCCCTTCGCTGGCTCCGCATTCTCATAGTAGCCAATCAGCTAAGCGTCGGTACAACCAAGTTTGCCAGTGTCAACAAAGATAGCGGTTGCAGCCGCGAAGGTTTGTTCGCAGTGCGACTCAGATTTTGGGGGAAATCATACTGACAAATTGACAGGTCTGAAACTTTAAAAAATATATATGCAAGAACTCCTTCTACCTCTTTCAGAGTATCTCTGCATCAATTGTGTTGCCGAGTTTAATCGGTTAGATAATTTAAGAAGCGAAAGCGAGTTGTGATTGGTAGACACCTGATTGGATAAAAAGCTAGCCAAATGAGATAATAAAATCATCAGGCCGAGCCGTAGATGCATCCAGGGTATAGTGGAGATTTATCGGAACGTATACCCTGGAGATTATCGAGGATGGGTTTATGAGAAACAGTGAAAGGCTAGCAGGCAGTAATACAGTAATTATGAAAACTTTCATCCCGACCTGATTGACACATTTTGTTGTTCAAGTGTCCTCTCTCTTTCCTTTCTTTATGAAACTCATCACTAACAACCAGAATTTCATGTTTCATGAGAATCCATGAGGTGGATGAAACTCTAATAATGACTTTATTGCAACCTTACCCACCCAGTATTAAATCTAGAATAATGGTAAAAAACTTGAAAATAGAAAATTTCAGAAAAATACAATGCACCATTTTTAGACACTCTGATATACAAAGGGGTTTGGTCGGTCTTCCAAACAAAGTGCTCTGATAGTCATATTGGGGTATAAAAATATTGTGTCCAAAAACAATATTCTTAAATATTTTAAGATAATATTGATTTAATGCTATTATTGAACATTAAGTATATTATATCTTGTCTTCAATCTAAATTTAGGGCTTTTTTTGCCTCTCATTATTTGGTGAGGTGAGATGAGGTGAAATTGGGTTTAACGTCATGCTTTAGAATATTTCGCTTATATGACGACAGGCATGCGTGTGTATGTGTATGTGCGGCTGCTTGTACTAGCCCTGACTTGAGCTGGTTTTATAGTGCTAGCCCAATGAGATACCATGCCGCAGTGAAGCATGAATACCCAACTCAAACACATTATACTGATTCTGAGCCAACCAGTCCTTGTTGTACCCATTAATGCCGAGCACCAGACTGGGACCAACAAGTACCATATCTTAACGTCTTTTGGTTGATGCGGTCGGGGATCGAACCCGCGACCTTCTGCTCTCCTCATTATTTGGTTCCCTTAAAACAAATTATATTGGTCTGTGTACTGGTCCATCTTTCATAGACTGTTACACACTTTGATTGTTCTTGTGGTCAACTTGGACCCTCTAGACATACAGAAATGTACCCTGAACAAAGTGAAAGTACAGAAACATACCCGGTATCCTAAACCATAACCCAAAACCAAAACCGTATGTAGTTGTTCCCGTTCAACTTAGTGTGAGTGGTATTGTGCACCATAAAATAGTCCTCACTGTGAATGGTCGTTTCTTATATAACACAATCAAATGCATCTAATACAACAGTATGACAGTTACGATCAAGAAAACGTCATAATGCGGAATCGACTCGTCCTCGGGTATGTTTCTGTATTGTGAATTTAGCTTGGGTATGTTTTTGTATACAGAAAAGTACCTGGAGTACATATCTGTAGTACCTGTAGCGACAACGACCCTATCAGTTCCTGTAGCCTGTATTATGACTAATATGGATAGAATTATCATTAAAATAGCCGCATGTTATCAGAAATGAGCAGGCCACTCTAACTTGATAATGCCCCCAAATTGCTTGACGACGGGCCATTATCATGCATTATATAGTGACTTACAGACACTTACATAAATTATTCACATTGCACATGCTTCTCCATAAAAATCATCATCACCAACCCCCTAGCCATAAATTATGAATGGTCCCTAATAATAGCATTAACCTGAATGTCAGCTCTAGATAAAATGGACATGATCATGATAATCTAGCAATGAATGTACACGCTTGCACTGGACATCACCCTGTTACACCTTATCAATGACAATGGTGACTGAGCATTCTATTAGAAGCTCCAGGTCAAGAACCTATTATGACAGAGCCAACATCAGGAATCTGAAGTGATCTAGATTACCAAATAATATGGACTTGCGTGAGCTGTATTGGATACATTTATTTCATAGTCTGTAGGTCCGACTAGCGTACACAGCCTCCTGAGTCAACTGAAACTAGCCCTCCACAAAGTCCCAAGGCCCCATCCACAAAGCAATCGCTGCGGTACAATATTCGCAAGTCAGCTATAAACTATATAGATATATAGTTATGATAGCTCTTTTTTGAGCTTTGAACACTTTGTGGATCAGTCCCCTGGATCAAGGGCCAGTCCGTTATGGTTGGACATCAACATTGCACATTCAACAACCAGAGTTTTCAAAAACAAACGAAGCTGTTTGGAGCAAACATCCTCTTAACCCAAGACACACAAAAGCTATCATATTCAAGCCTTAACTGACAACAGAACTAGAGCCTAAAGATCAGGGCCTAGATTTTCGAAGCTCTCTTAGCGCTAAGATAGTCGTAAGTGCCATACATTAACATTAACTTACGACTATCTTAGCGCTAAGAGAGCTTCGAAAATCTAGGCCCTGGTTCCCTGATCCACAAAGCAATCGTAATGTTACGACCTGTTGTAACTCTCTAGTTTACCATAGACTTACGAATGTCCTAGCACTACAAACATATTGTGGTTTAGGACCTAGGCTTTCAGCTATGTTGGAATTCTTCCAACAGAACTTTTGAACAACTGTATTGGCAAGGTCACTATATATACATTCGTAGTTTCCTTACGTTTTACACTATCTCAATCCTGGAAAACAACTGACTGGAGACTAGCATCACTGACTAGTTCTGATGACCTAACTAGTTGCCCTTTGTCATTAACAAATCAGCAATATACACAGATCTCCATACATATTGATTTTGCAAAGCTTCTTAATGCAACATGCAAAATCCATGTCAGAATTGCACCACAAGACAACGTAAAACAAGAACCAGCTATGATACAGAGCCTCTTTGACCAATCTGATCTTCAATGATGAAGAAGATCCGAGCAAATATCCTGACATTCTTCACACATTTCATCAAACTGGGAGCATTTTTAAAAGCTATAAAGTTTAGGAGTTAGATGTCATTAATTACAGAGATATAACTAAGCTAACATCGGAAAGTCCTTGGTCAAGTTTATTTTTATTATGTCATTGAAGGAGTAACTCCACTGAAGTAACTTCGGGAAATTTTTATCTTGGGTCGCAGGCATAAAAAGTGTCTTTTTTATACATTGTAGTCGTAACTCCTTACTTATCATAGTCACTAGGCAAAATTAGAAAGGGTATAGAATGAGGACCTTGGTCACACACACTGCTGAGCAAGACAGATATATAAAATTGATAAAAATTGTTTTATGTCAACAGCTCGACTGGAACCAGTGCCTCATAAGAAGATGATCTTGGACATTTGTGGTAATTTTAATGTTTGTGGTACTTTTTAAAATATCCTAACTTAAGTATGCATGTTTCTTTCACTGCAGTGTCAGATTTAATTACAATTTTTGTACTTAAGAGCAGCTGGTCAAGCACGAAAACACAGCTGTAGACATTATGCAGCATGCTTTCAAACATCAGGACACACCAAGCAAGGGCTTTACATTCTGTAGCCAGGAAACCCCATCATCATCATCATCATCATCATCATCATCTTAGCACTGAACCATCTCTGACAAGACAATACATTTTGGCACTGGGATCGTCACAATATTTACGATTTCCTATATGCAAAATATGATGCTAGAAATAAATAAACACAAAAGAAGAGTCCTACACCTATTTCTTGAGCATTGTTCGGATCAGTGATGTAGGCATGAATTAGCTGACCGATCGTAAACAACATTGACATCACAATAAGGAACAGAGCAATTTTTCCTGGTGTGAGCAGACTGTACAGAACCTCCTTCACTGAGTAGTTGTCAAGCAAACCCTTTTTTGTCAGGAACTTTTGGCGGGAAGAATAACAGGCCAGCTTGCCAACACTGCCGGCATAATACTGTTGAAACTGCAAGTCCCACCCCTCTGAGAAGGTGAATTTCTTCAGCTCAATGGCTTTGTTGGATGACTTGATCTTCTGGTCTTCTAAGGACTTGCTGTATTTGTCATAGCAGTCCAGGAGTTCCAGACACATGTCCCCCTCCTGTAGGTCTTGCAGGAACCGCAGACCCTTGTCAGCCTCCTCGGAATACTTCCGCAGCTCTTTGCTGAAACATACAGGAGTGGGTCTTATTTTATGACCCAGTCTGAAATGTCCTCCGTCACAAAACACAAACCGAAGGCAGTTCTTGGCAAAAGAAATGAGGAAAAAAAGGGGATATGTTGTTACCTGAGTAAAAATCTCACATGTTTACCGAAAAGTATATTATCATGTACATTGTATGAGTCTGGCATTTTCTTCAATGACTGCAGTGAGCTTCTGTACCTGAGACTACTACCATAGATTAATTACACCAAATCAGGATCAGTTGTTGAACGAGCAGTTTTCATAGAGAGCCATCACTGCAGACAATGACATCTAGCAGCTGTGATTGGAGAACTTTTTGTAAGATGTTTTGTAAATGTACATCTACCCAGTACTTAAACCTGACCATGTTTTTCAATATTTAGTGTTTTCTTGTTTACACGAAGATTTATCCTGAATGTGAACAGAGATATTTTCCAGCGGGTGACATTTGGTACAGTATCTGGGGCTGGTGTGTTTTGTTTTCTGTACTCAGAAAATGTCTGTTAGTCTGTTGTTTAACACAGCAATATTCCAGCTATGGTACAGCGGTCTGAAAGTAATGAAATCTGGACCAGACAATCCACATTTGCCCATCAATATGCCCATGTACATGTGATAGATGTTGAAAGGCAAGTTATTGTTTAAAAAAATAACACTACTCTTGAAATCTATGGAAATACATTTGGTCATGTGTAACCGCAATATTCAGTGGCTGACATGAATTATCTCCCTTACCTATACGTGCTGAGTTCGTGTAGCGTCCTCCTCTCCCCTTCTCCGACCACAGCGATCTGTTCCATCACCATCTTGTCTATCCTGCTGTGCAGATCCTTGCCCCTACCTTGCACCTCCTTCCTAGCGCCATCTGCCCACTTCGACACCGAGTCCGAAGTTGCCTGGACCTGACTCAGCGTCTTCTGAATGTGTCTCTTCTCTGACGCAAGACGGTCCAATTCCTCCTGAAGAGCTAATCTGGATGTTGACAGCTTTGTTGCCATGGGAACAGTCTCATGACGTTTATGATCTTCACAAATGCATGTAATACAAACTGCTTTGTCACACGTACGGCAATATAACTGCAGAATTTCTTCCACATGTTTGGGGCAGGATCTCGTGGAGGACAGGTGGACCTCGGCCGGAGTTGTCTCAATCCTCATAATGTTGTACTGACGGGAAGCGTCGTGCTGGAAGAGTCTATGTTCGTGGATGCAGAACTTGCATATCACCATGTCACAGTCCACACACTTGAACTGAGAAATGAGCCAGTCCCGCTTGCACATGTCACACATGTCGTGGAAGGACTTTGTGCCGAGCTCATCCTGCAGGCTGATGATGTAGAAGTTCAGGGGGAACTCATGGATGCCCCCACGGGGAACGCAAACATCTCGTCTGCACTGCGGGCACCTACAATCATGAAAACATAGCTGCTAATGCCGTTTATAGATTCATAAAAGATTTAAATAAAGTCATATAGACTTCATGCTAATTCTCACCCGTGAAGGTCTGGGTTAGAATGAATCTTCAGTAATCTATTCTTGTCGTAAGAGGCGACTAACGGGATCGCATGGTCAGGCTCGCTGACTTGGTTGACACATGTCATCGGTTCCCAATTGCGCAGATCGATGCTCATGCTGTTAATCACTGGATTGTCTGGTCCAGACTTGATTATTTACAGACCGCTGCCATATAGCTGGGATATTGCTGAGTGTGGCATAAAACTAAACTCACTCACTCACTCATGCTAATACTCTATTAGCTGGGAGCAGTCATATAACAGAAGCTACCTTGTAACCTTGACTTTGGCGTATTTGTAGAAATGCCAGGACAGCATCGATGACTGTGATTATTGAAACAACTCATGTTCTGTCTGGGTCAGTGAACACAGACAGTGTCCTAATTTCAGACAGGATGAATATAGATTCAACACAATGATGTTGAAGACCTCTGATATCAGGCCATGGCCTCAAGCAATCAAGATACTGTGCAAGGAGTATCAGACTCTCTCAACAAAATTTCAATTTGTGTAGTACATCATATTTTATCCATTGTTTCAAACTCAGGCAACAAAGAAACACTTTCTTGGAACTTTTTCTCGTATGTCTGTCTGTTGAAGCAAAAACTCAGCAAACATACTTTAAAAAAATACTTAAAAAACAACAAGATTATTTGCATAATATCTATTATTAAAAAACAATCTTACTTGTAATCTAAGATTGATGGTTCCCTGTACTTGTGTACTGTGATCAAGCTTGGCAGGAGGAAATTGTGTGGTTATAGGAAAGTAGTATATCTTACCTGAACATGCGTCCAGTGATGGAGCTGGCCTGGAGGATGTTGTGGATACAGTCCAGGCAGACGGTGTGGTTATAGGAAAGTAGTATATCTTACCTGAACATGCGTCCAGTGATGGAGCTGGCCTGGAGGATGTTGTGGATACAGTCCAGGCAGACGGTGTGGTTGTAGGAAAGTAGTATATCTTACCTGAACATGCGTCCAGTGATGGAGCTGGCCTGGAGGATGTTGTGGATACAGTCCAGGCAGACGGTGTGGTTGTAGGAAAGTAGTATATCTTACCTGAACATGCGTCCAGTGATGGAGCTGGCCTGGAGGATGTTGTGGATACAGTCCAGGCAGACGGTGTGGTTGTAGGAAAGTAGTATATCTTACCTGAACATCGTCCAGTGATGGAGCTGGCCTGGAGGATGTTGTGGATACAGTCCAGGCAGACGGTGTGGTTGTAGGAAAGTAGTATATCTTACCTGAACATGCGTCCAGTGATGGAGCTGGCCTGGAGGATGTTGTGGATACAGTCCAGGCAGACGGTGTGGTTGTAGGAAAGTAGTATATCTTACCTGAACATGCGTCCAGTGATGGAGCTGGCCTGGAGGATGTTGTGGATACAGTCCAGGCAGACGGTGTGGTTGTAGGAAAGTAGTATATCTTACTTGAACATGCGTCCAGTGATGGAGCTGGCCTGGAGGACCGCCGTGTGGTTGTAGGAAAGTAGTATATCTTACTTGAACATGTCGTCCAGTGATGGAGCTGGCCTGGAGGATGTTGTGGATACAGTCCAGGCAGACCCGTGTGGTTGTAGGAAACTAGTATATCTTACCTGAACATGCGTCCAGTGATGGAGCTGGCCTGGACGATGTTGTGGATACAGTCCAGGCAGACGGTGTGGTTGTAGGAAAGTAGTATATCTTACCTGAACATGCGTCCAGTGATGGAGCTGGCCTGGACGATGTTGTGGATACAGTCCAGGCAGACGGTGTGGTTGTAGGAAAGTAGTATATCTTACCTGAACATGTGTCCAGTGATGAGCTGGACGATGTTGTGGATACCCAGGCAGACGATGGTTGTGGATACAGTCTGAAGGCAGTGATGGAGCGGATGTGATGACAGGGAAGCAGTATGATGACAGGGAAGCAGTCTCGGATCCTTGTACTCATCCATACAGATCGGACACATCAGCAGACGGTCACGGAGACGCTCAACCTTGTCCACGTCCATCTACAACACAGGAGATATAGGTGATATACAACACAGGAGATATAGGTGATATACAACACAGGAGATATAGGTGATATACAATACAGGATATATAGGTGATATACAACACAGGAGATATAGGTGACATACAACACAGGAGATATAGGTGACATACAACACAGGAGATATAGGTGACATACAACACAGGATATATAGGTGATACACAACACAGGATATATAGGTGATATACAACACAGGATATATAGGTGATATACAACACAGGAGATATAGGTGATATACAACACAGGAGATATAGGTAACTAACAACACAGGATATATAGGTAACATACAACACAGGATATATAGGTGATATACAACACAGGAGATATAGGTAACATACAACACAGGAGATATAGGTGATATACAACACAGGAGATATAGGTAACATACAACACAGAATATATAATTGATATACAACACAAGATATATAGGTGACATACAAGACAGGATATATAAGTGATATACAACACAGGATATATAGGTGACATACAAACACAGGAGATATAGGTAACATACAACACAGGATATATAATTGATATACAACACAGGATATAAAGGTGACATACAACACAGGATATATAGGTGACATACAAACACGGGAGATATAGGTAACATACAACACAGGATATAAAGGTGACATACAACACAGGATATATAGGTGATATACAACACAGGATATATAGGTGACATACAAACACAGGAGATATAGGTAACATACAACAGAGGATATATAATTGATATACAACACAGGATATAAAGGTGACATACAACACAGGATATATAGGTGACATACAACACAGGATATAAAGGTGGTATACAACACAGGATATAAAGGCGATATACAACACAGGATATATAGGTGACACAACAGGATATAAAGGCGGTATACAACACAGGATATAAAGGTGATATACAACACAGGATATATAGGTGACACAACAGGATATAATGGGCGACATATAACACTGACATATGGGTGACATACAACACAGGATATAAAGGTTGTATACAACACAGGATATATAGGCGACATACAACACAGGATATAAAGGTGATATACAACGCTGGACATATAGGTGACATACAACACAGGATATAAAGGTGGTATACAACACAGGATATATAGGTTACATACAACACAGGATATAAAGGTGATATACAACACAGGATATATAGGTGACACAACAGGATATAATGGGCGACATATAACACTGGACATATGGGTGACATACAACACAGGATATAAAGGTTGTATACAACACAGGGTATAAAGGCGATATACAACACAGGATATATAGGTGACACAACAGGATATAATGGGCAACATATAACACTGGACATATGGGTGACATACAACACAGGATATATCATTTATATACAACACAGGATATATAGGTGACATACAAACACAGGAGATATAGGTAACATACAACACAGGATACATAATTGGATTGATATCCAACACAGGATATAAAGGTGACATACAACACAGGATATATAGGTTGTATACAACACAGGATATAGGTGACATACAACAGAGGATAGAAAGGTGGTATACAACACAGGATATAATGGGCGACATATAACACAGGACATATGGGTGACATACAACACAGGATATAAAGGTTGTATACAACACAGGATATAAAGGCGATATACAACACAGGATATATAGGTGACACAACAGGATATAATGGGCGACATATAACGCTGGACATATGGGTGACATACAACACAGGATATAAAGGTTGTATACAACACAGGATATATAGGTGACACAACAGGATATAATGGGCGACATATAACACTGGACATATGGGTGACATACAACACAGGATATAAAGGTTGTATACAACACAGGATATAAAGGCGATATACAACACAGGATATATAGGTGACACAACAGGATATAATGGGCAACATATAACACTGGACAAATGGGTGACATACAACACAGGATATATCATTGATATACAACACAGGATATATAGGTAACATACAACACAGGATATATAATTGATATACAACACAGGATATAAAGGTGACATACAACACAGGATATATAGGTGACATACAACACAGGATATAAAGGTGGCATACAACACAGGATATAAAGGTTGTATACAACACAGGATATAAAGGCGATATACAACACAGGATATATAGGTGACACAACAGGATATAATGGGCAACATATAACACTGGACATATGGGTGACATGCAACACAGGATATATCATTGATACACAACACAAGGTATATTGGTGATATGCAACACAACATGTATCCATGATAAGAAGACAGAATGTTGGTCTGTGTGTTCACACAAAACACTAATTATGTTTTAGCATTGAAAATACCTTTTACGGGAGCTGAACTTCCTTCTAATGACGATTTTTATGTTATTTTATTAAAACAGATTTTATTTATTTAATTCGTCATAAATGAAAAGAGTGGCGTCTTACATATTCTAGACCTTGAAATTAACTTTCTGCTTATGACTATTTTTATTTTATTTTATGAAAACAGATTTTATTTATTTAATTTGTGATAAAGGAAAAGAGTGGCGTCTTACATATTCTAGACCTTGAAATATATGAAGCCAGCGGTAAATGAACGTTTGCGCAAGTTTTCCCTTCTCAGATTAGACCATCACGGATGCACGTTTTTCCTTCTCTAATAACTATTAAACGTCCTCAATATGCTTACGCGGGATTTCCCACTGCCCTTTCGCGTTTCTGTAGACAATCATAGCGGCAGGTTACATTCGGGCGCTTGACGTAATTTCCATAGACTTTCATGTTATTTCAGTGTAGCATAAATAATTTTCATGAATTTCATTTTCGTAAGATCCAAGTCAATTTTGCACACTTGTGAGGAATCATCTTACATACAATCACATAATTTCTGTTTAATTTTCTGTTGCTTATTTATCGAATGGCAACAATTTAATCAACATATGTACAGTGCCGTGAACTCCTTTAACATGGCGGCTTGTGGGAGTGTGCATTGTGGAACTATACGCAAGTTGATATGTGGTGTCATTAGTTAAATAGTGTCAAGAAGTCCGGATTTATAAAAAAAGGATATGTCAACAATAATCACTTCTGATTGTTAATTTAAATTATTGACACAGCAAATTTGTTGGCGACACAAAATAAGTGGCATCATTCAGCTCAATAACACACTACAAACTCCGCCCACTCTGTTATCAGCCAATCAGTAGTCTGCTATTATTAGCAAAACAGTCGTCTGCTACTGGGCGTGGTCGACCCTGTTTTATCATCGCAACGCTTTGTTTGGCGGTTAATACAATGGACACCAATGTCCGTCCGTGTGTCCATGATGTCGTTTCCCGAACAGATCTTGAAACCCTTAGGATATTTCTTCTAATTTAACTTGGAACATAGATATGAATAGTGGGGAACTGGTGCTTTTTGATCGGTTTGAATTATGAAAAAATATTTTTCGAGCACTGAATTCCACACGCGTTTACAATTTTCAGGCCCCCAGTGTTTGTAAAAATTGCTTGCACAAACGTACATTTGCCGCTGGCTTCATGTATTTATCATAAAAATATATTTAGTGAAGAATGTTTTCCAGGAGTGCTAAGGTCGTTTAATTGCCGTATTGACTCTGTAATACAAATAATTTCGAACCCTTGACTCCATCGTCCTTATTCTACCATGACATTTTAGAATCCCACATTGCAATTGGTCCGCATGCGTTTCGACTTATGAAATAGGGCCTATACTACTGACCCAGTAGTCCAAGTCCTATTTAGTCACTATCTACAAGTTTAGCTCTGGTCGACCATGACAAAAAGGAACGCCAACTCAACGTTCAATGTTTTAAGTGCGGTGCTCAAATCTTGTTGATTACATTACTGTACTCGCAACTATATCAGGCACTGAAAGTGTGCATCATGCCCCTAAAAATCAAGCTAACGCCATGAAAATTTTGATTTAATTCTACTCCGAGCGTAAGTATTTGATATGAAGTCACACCGCATATTACGACACAAAAGATATGACGTCACAGTCTAGTTATATACGTCTCACTTTTGTTTCCAAAACTCTAAATAGCTTTAGCTTGATTTCTCTCGCTTATCTCTCCAACATCTACAAACAAATCAGAATTGAGTATTTTCCAAATTCATGGTAAAAAGTTTGCCATGCTAATTAAAATATTACTGATCGCACTTCTTCAACGTTGGTACATAACGTGTTGTAGTTCTAATTCTATTTACAAGTGTGGCAATGTATTTGAAGTGGAAAACTTGAACAAATACTTAAATAGTGTATTGTACAATTCAGTCACACCATAATGTGACCTCTTGTCCGTTTCGTCACAGTGCCCCGGCTTCATATCTGTTACACTTCTCCAGGAAACTTCTCAGCTTGACTAATGCTTACAGGACATCTGACAACGGGATTTGATTGTGTCTGAAGTTGAATTTATTTTGGAAGCACAAAGAAAAATAACTGCAGATTCAGTCAGATCACCTATAATCACCGAATAAGCCTTTCCATGATGCACTGACATTTGCAACTTACAAATGTGTGTTCAAGCATTCCACACTAACAAGTGCAGGTTTGACTAAAATGCAAAACGAAATTGAAAGAGTCCTGCAATCCGGCTGGAAAACGTGATTAAATTTCATGGACTTTATTCACGAACACCTTTCTTGATATACAGTGTCTTTGGATATGTTATATATATATATATAAAATCAGAATTCTAGAACTTGGAGAGGAGTTTTATTCGTTTTGTTGACGAGTGTTGACATATTTATCATCCAACAATCCCAACTTGTAAATAGTATTCCGTTGTGCCGTCTGTATAAAATATGTACCGCTTATCACCTTCAAGCAGCAGGAAGTAAAGTTATGTCATTTGATTGTGACCATCTGAGAGGGGTCACGGATGACAAGATAATGGTCTGCAAAGCCAGATCTCCTG